CTGCAATGTTTTGCATTGTATTTTTGAACTCCTCCTGGTCTTTGCTTGTAGCATCCTGTAATTCATCAGGTTTGTCTTTCATCCATTCAGTTGCTCCTCTTTTAAATTCTGTGTCAGAAAGTTATATGAGACTTTCTGGCTTCAGGGGCATCCACTGCTACTGTGTCACCCTTTGTGAGTGACATATTGCTTTGCTCTTGTGTATTGTGTGGGACAGTTTGTTTTCTTCGAGACATTGGTATGTGTTCTTGGTCTGAAGACAATGCTCTTGAGATCAGATGGGCAGCTACCAAACTTGTGCGTTTTTCTGACTTTCTGACTTCAGAAACATATCAGTTCAGCGCCTGCTAGGGCAATCTCTTGTTGCTAAGACAGGTCAAGGTGCTCCCATTTAAAGGCAAGTTGATCGCCCAGACGTGTAGGTACTGGTGTGGAGCCAAATAGGGTGAGGCAGGCAAAGGGTTGGGTGATTGCAAGGGCAGGTCAAACACTTGGGGGACCTTGCTCAAACCTCTGTTGTCTCAGTGTGCTCACGACTAGGGTCCTTACTCAAATTCCTGCTGTCCGTTTCCTACCCAGTGGTTTTCTCAGTGTTCCCTGCCTGGTGGCACTTACGCAGGTGCCCTCACACAACAGCCCCTTCTCCAGCAGGGTCCTGGATCCGACAGGATCCGAAAAGTCAAGGTCAAATTCCCACCAACCCACTAGCCTCTGGCTGGTCTGCAGAGTTCACAGAAGCCAGCTGGCTGGCTCGTTTTGGGCAGTTGGTGTAGCCCAAAGAGCTCAGCCAATTTCCCCACCTGTGGACATGCCCTTAGGTGCTCTCCCGGGTAATCAGCAATGCCCCAGTAAACAGATAAGATCCTACCAGCCTTTCTCCAGCCAGGTTAGTTCCACAACAGCTTGGCTGATAGCTCTGAGTGATGGCTGGATCCGCGGTGGTGCCTTGAGGTCACAGGGCTGTGGTGAGGGCTGAGGTGTGTGGTTGTGGTGCTGTAAGGGGGGCAGGGGAAGAGGAGGAAAGCAAGGGACTAGGGGGCCCAAGGAGCAAAGGGCTTGGACACTATCACCAAGAGGTGAGGGCGGGGCTTGGGCACTGCTGGGGGTTTATGCAGCAGCACCCTGTGCGTTGGAGGTCACACAGGTGCAGGCTGCAGGGGGTCACACAGTGGCAGGTAGTCTTTGCTCCTCTGGGGTCTCACGGTCTTCGCTCCTCTGGAGTTCCATGGTGGGTGGGTGGCTGACTGTTGCTCTTCCCGGGTCTGTTCCTGGCCAGTCTGGTGACGGAGTTCTGTCTGGTGGCGGAGTAGTTCTGTCTCTATGTTCAGCTTTTTGAGAAAGCAACAAACTGCCTTGCAGAATGGTTTCACCATTTTACAATTCCACCCACAATGTATAAGTGTTCCTTTCTCGCCACATCCTCTCCGAAATCTATTATTACTTGCTACCCTGTTAGACTTTGCCACTGTTACTAGAGTGAGATGGTACCTCATTGTGGTTTTGATTTGAATCTCTCATATAATTCTTAATGGAGAAAGAGGAAAGGCATTTCCCTTGTGGACAGGGACCAGACAAGGATGCCCACTATCACCACTTCTATTTAATATCTTATTGGAACTACTTGCTGAGCCAATAAAAGATAAGGGAATAAGATTCATATAAATCTAGAAAAAAGTGATAAAATTATTATGTCCAGATGATATGATAGTGTACACAGAATCGTACAAGGACTCAACAAAAAAAGTATAGCAACTTAGTAGATTGGCAGGATACAAGATCAATATACAAAAATCAGTGGGATTCCTCTACAGAAACAAAGAAAATACAGATAAGAAACTAAAAACACAATACTATTTACAATAGCTTAGCACAATTTGAGGTACTTGGAAACAAACCTAACTGGAGACACAAAATAGCTTCATAATGAAAGCTAAAAAACCCTAACTGTAGTAAACAATAAGAGACCTAAATAAATGAAAAAAATGTTCCCAGTACATGGATAGAAAGAGCAAATATAGTTGAAATTAGAATCCTATGAAAAGCAATCTACATGTTTAATTCAATCCCAATACAGTTATCAAATTCATTTTTCAAAGAGATAGAAAAGGCAATAGGCAAGTTTGTTTGAAAGAAAATATACCTCAAATAAACAAAGCACTTCTGAAAAACAAAAATGAAGTGGGAAGCATACCACACCCTGATGTCAAAACCAACTACACAACTGTAGTAACCAAACTTGATACTGGTACAATGGTAGGCAAATAGACCAATGGAACAGAACCAAGAACACAGAGATTAACCCATACACCTAAGGTAAATCTGCAGATAGGGACCTCTCCAAATTATTGAGGAGTAAGGATGTCTGTTTTAGGACCAAGGTGCATCTGATTCAAGCTATAGTCCTTCTGATCACTTTCTATGCATCTGAGAGCTGGACAATGAATAAGGATGGCAGAAGAATTGATGTCTTTGAGCTGCGGTGTTGGAGAACAGTACTGAACATTCCATGGACAGCCAAAAGAACAAACAGATATGTCTTGGAGAGGGTGCAGCAGGAGTTCTCTTTGAAGCCAAGAATGATGAGGTTTTGCCTTACATACTTTGGGCATGTTGCTAGAGCGACATGATGCTAGGAGAAGACGACCTTCAACCAGGTGGATTGATGCAATAACTGCCACAGTGGGCTCTTGTGTGTTAGAAAATGTGAGGATGGCATAGGAATGGGGTTCAGATCTTTTGTTCATAAAGTTTCTATGAACCATACTTGGCTTGACAGCACCTAACATCAGCAATCTTTTATCAATTGGTAGTTGACAAGGAAATGATACTTATCAAATACATCCAAATGGTGCTAGCAAAACTGGATTTCTACCAACTCAAGGTGGATCAAAAACCTGGGGGAAAAGCCCCAAACTGTAAAGATAGTAAGAGATAAAATGGGACAAACCTTACAGTACTTGCTTATGGTATAAATAGGCTGACAAATTCAGCCAGAAATGCACAACCAGAAGAAAGATAGCACTGATGAATGAAACCTTCTAAAGATTAAGTCCCTGTGCACACAAAAAACTTTTTTTCTAATAAGGTGAAAATAAAACCTACTGAATGGGGAAATAATTGATAATTACATTTCAGACAAAGGTCTAAAAATGGAAGCTTACAGGATACTACAGTGTATCTACAAGAAAAGGCTGATAACCCAGTTACAAAATGGGCAAAATACATGGAAAAACTTTCCGCAGAGAAAGAAGACATTCTGTTGGCTAACTGACATATGAAGAAATGCTCAAAATCACTGGTAGTCAGAAAGATACAAATCAAAACCACAATGAGGTACTATCTTACCCCAAGAACAGGGACAAAGTTTAATAGGACAGCAAGTAATAAATGTTAGCATGTGGAGATATTAGAATTCTCTCACACACTGTTAGTGAGATTGTAAAATCCACCACTATGGGTTGCAGTTGGACACTTCTTAAAAACACTGAACATAGAAATTCTACATGAAAACCAATAAATTTGTAAAGTATTAAACAACATGAATGAGGTGGGAAGACATGCTGTGTGAAATATCTCAGTGACAAAAAGAACAAATATTGCATAGGGTCACTGTTATAATGCAGGAGGGTAGAGCAGAGAAAGAATAGATAGATAATGAACACTAACTACCCTGGAATGGGGGAAGAGAAGGACTATCTGAAGGAAATTAGACATTATGCCAGAAGACAATCTGGAATAAGACATGCTTTACAACGTGAATTGGGGGACAGGAAGATAAGGAAAAGTGTATCAATGAATGCATCAAAACACTGTAAACTTTCATTAAAATATAAGAAGCTTTACAAGGCTGTACATTGCATGAACAGAGATTGCTCATCATTCTAAAGAGGAGTTGCTGGTGAGTTCAAACTGCCAAAGATCCATCGTTTTTGGATTAACAATACAATTCCCTATAAGCTATGACACCACAGTTCCCTAATAAAGTTTTTCACATAGAATGCAAAAGAATGCAAACATAATCCAATTATGTTGAAACTGTTTTAAATCAAACCCTTAAAACAATATTAATTATCAAGGCAAAGAAAGTCACATTATCTTATAAATATTTTTTCAGACCTAAAGTTAAAAATTTTAATAAAAAAAGCAAAGCATAGGTTTAATACAAAGACTAAAATTTAGGATGCTCGCAAGGAAGTTACGTTAAAGGATAACATATGTAGCTCTTTCTAAATATTTTTTTTAAATCTCAAAACTAATTAAAATATTTTTAGATCATGAAAATTGATCATTCTATTACAAAGATGTAATTTGATTTTATAGTGTACGATGTCAAATTAGATGCTAAAATCCATATCCAGATCACATAAGTTTTATGTCTCTTTTATTTTTAAAGAAATTTTTTTTTATTTTAAGAAAAGTTTACAGAAAAGCTAGATTTTCATTCATTCATTTTGCCCCTCTCCCTCCCTTCCCCCTCTCCAAACTGACTTTTTAAATTTTAAACTAGTTTATTTACAAAATCACCCAAGCGTCGAGGACTCTCCTTCATAGGGTCTCTATGAGTCGCCTGTGACTCATGGTACTTAACAACAACAACATTTACAAAATTAGAATACATTGTTTTTGAGAACAGATTCTTCCAATTTCCCTCACCACGCCGCCCCCCGTCACCCCCTCCCCCAATCAAATAAGTTTTAATGCTGCAGACTATAAAAGTGGAACAAAGGACAAAGCTAGAATCAAATCTTTCACATGGGGTTAGAACTGAAGAATATGGGCAATGTCTCAGACTACAGCTATGAGACAACACACTGAAATAAAGTGAGTTGAAATGAGACCAGAGGTGAGTCCAGAGACAATTCTGGATCTGCTATAGATAAATGGAGAAGGCTAGGGATTGGGAGCTGGCTGCTGTACTGACAGTGAAGCTAAAGGTGCTTATACACTGTGAATTATAAATGATTTATTCATGAAATATTTGTTACTGATTTTGATTTTAGGTTGTTGGCGGTCTCTGGGACAGACTCCAGACAAGGTCATTCTTGGCACCAGTCAAACCAATTAGCTTGTAAGTTTCATCTCTTAGTTTCCTCATTACTAGATTTTTCTCTGTCACTGAAGCTCAGTATAACCCTAAGGTTTGAGAGAGGGAAGGGACATTCTTCTGTGGGAGAGCATTCTAGAGATCCTTGGACCCTGACTTGAAAAGTGGCTAAATTTCATTTCAGTTGCTCAGTGTGGCCTTTTGTTTTTTTTTCACCCTCCTCAAAATTAATTTCACTTAAACATACCACAAAAATTTTAAAATAGAGATACTTTTATAAATTCTTTTATATGATGAATAAATTATAATGTAACAATAATTAGTAATGTTCATATAAAGTTAACTATAATGGTTATTTTCTATCAAGTTCTGTATAATCTAATTATCTCATGTTCTTTCAAGGCTACAAACAATTAGTCTGCTATTAATACTTTCACATATGTAATTTTGTGTATTTGCTTTAAAATCTTGATTTTGTCTTGGAAATGTCACTATTTGTTTCTACATTGAATTCTTATGATGACAAAGATGTCTTTCACAGGTGAATGAAAAATCAAACTGTAGAATGTACATGGAATAAAAAAGAAACAAATGTAAACACACAGTGATATAGATGGCTCTAAAATGCACTTTTCCAAATAAAAACCACCAATTGTGGTTCAAATCCACCAGCTGATTTGTGGGAGATAGATTAGCAATCTCCTTTCATGAGACTTAGCCTCTAAAAAGCTGCTGGAATGTCAGATGTGGATCAGTTTGTACACAACATTCATATGACAAAGAACTCTGGACTAGTGTTAGGGAGGTGCACTGCCAACCCGAAGACACAACTTTCAATTCCAGCATATGCTTTGTGGGAGAAAGATGAGCAGGTTTCTTTCATGCAATTTAAAAAGACTGAAAACCTGTTGGATGGTCAGCTATGAGTTTATTCCAATTCAACAGCAGTGAGTTGAGTTGAATTGAGTTTATTTATACAAAACCTTGGAAAAGAAAAATTATAAGAATATGTTGCAGACCGAGGATAAAGTATTTTTATAATTATTAATAATGAGACAGACTACCAGGAATGAGATAGAATAGAGAGCATATAAAACAGGGGGCCCGAAGTTCGCATGACTGAAGGCCTTAAGCCATGCCTCTCTGGGTATTTATTGAGAATCATAAGGAAGGTAAACAAAGGAAAATCATAAGAGAGTACAAAAAAAAGGGGGGGATCATGGGGAAGTCTTTTGCAGATAAGGCCAAGTTCCTCTCTATTGTTTATCTCAGGAGGAAGGGATTCAGTTAATACAAACTAAGAACAATGTTGACTCTTAGGGAATGCCTTAGTGCCACAAGGTGACCTTCAGCTTATATTAAGCCTCCTCATATCCTGATATATCATTTGGTCTACTATTAACATATTAAATATGATATTCGACTTCCCTCAAGAATAAAAAACAGATCAGTGATTGTTAGAGTTTGGAAAACTGGTAAGGAATATAAAGGACATGTAAAAGAAATTCTAGAGTGATAGAATTGTTCTTTATGATACTGTACTTTGTGACTTCATAGAACCATATACAGCATAATCCATAGGAAGTTATTCTGTTAACCCAAAGGTCAGACTTCCTGATAGTTTTAATCCATTAACATGCTCTACCAGAGAAAGATGCACAGTCTCCTCCTGTGCAATTTACAGCCTTTGAAAACCTACTAGAAGAACAGCTGTGAATTGTAATGACTCTCAAATACAATAAACAAATATAAAGTAATACAAAACAAATCTACCTGGTTAGAGGAGAATAAGAATGTTGAAGATTATTAATAATGAATTCATATTAAAAACACAAATTCTATAACTACAACTAAGTGGGGCTGGGGAAAGAGATGATTTAATTAAATTTGGAAAGGTTATATGAACTAGTTACGCTAAGGCTAAATACAAAAAGAACTGTATATAAACATGACGTTCTAGTAGATAAAGCCAGTTGATTTGCTTTCTGACAAGCACGTGAGTTGGTAATTCTGAAACTACTTACACATGTACAAATGCTGATTGAATAAGCAAATGTTTTGTAGATAAGAGTAATCATGTTTCTTGATTAAAGAATGAAATTACAATAAGAAAAGGAACAGCTAGCAATAGCTAGATTAATAGATTAGCACAGGCAACATCTAGTGCACTTAGATACTCCATCCACTGCTATTGAGTTGACTCCTGGCAATCTTCTGTAAGGTTTTTGAGGCTGTAATTCTAAATGGGAGGAAACTGTCTATACTTCTTCTGTGGAATAGTGGCTGGATTTGAACCACTAACCTCTTGATTGGCGGTCCATCTTATACACTGTACCACCAGATACCTTACGGACTTAGACTAATAAATAGTTTGATACAGAAACACATAAATAAATATGGATATGTATGAGTCTGGAAGGAGGAGCGGCATCCACTTCCTAAATGGCTTGCCTCTGGAAACTCTGTACGAACAGTGCTTGGGCCTTTCGTTCGTAGGGTTGCTATGAATCGTCTATGACTCGACGGCACCTAACAACAACAACAACAACAACAACAACAACAACAACATGTGTGAATACATGATATCATATATACATACATATATTCTAGCTTTCTCCACTAAAAGGGTCCAAAAGATGTGACATCTAAGCAGACAATCATTTCTGAGTTTGTTTTCTAATACCATTTTCCAATAAACGAAACTAGGGTGGTACAACCACTCTGAAAGACAGTTTGATATTTCCTCAAAAAGCTGAACAAAGAAATTCCATATGACCCAAGTAATCAATATACTACAAAGAGAATAAAAATGAGACACATACAGAGATTTGTACACAATATTCATAGCAGTAGTATCCACAATTGCAAAAACATGGAAGCAGCCCAAATGTTCATCAACAATTAACAATTTGGATTAAGAAATTGTTACACTTTCACATGATGGAATACCATGTAGTGCTCAGGAGTAATGATTTAAAAAAATATTCTATAACATGGGAACGGCTAGAGAATATTAATTATACTGGCTGAACTAATTTATTCTCATAAGGAAAAATACTGCATAACATAGTTGTAAAAATAGAACAATAACTAGTAAAATGTGTATTAAAGTCCTAAGCAGGAAAAAGAGAGGTCAGGGAAGGTAGATGGGGAAAGGAGGAAATCACAAGTTCGCAGAGTCTGACTGATGGAGGGAAGAAGTGAAAAAAAATTTTTAAGTGTAAGTCCAAGTTCTAGAAGTAAATACATTCCTCTCTATACGTAAGTACTGATAATGTGATTCTAAAAAATGCTGAATCCACTTCCTAAACAACATGCCTCTTAAAATTCTATGAACTTAGATAAATCTCAATAGTTATAGAAAGGCTTCAGGCCTTTTGTTTATAGAGTCACTATGAGTTGTGCTCAATTTGAAGGTAATCAATAAGAAAAACAACATTTAGATTATAGTTTACTCAATTATGCTTGTAATTCTCTCTTTAAAATATGTGCTTCTACAGTTTTCCCAGAATGATACCTATCTAATATGGTGATTTTTATCAAAGCTTTGTTAAGATGTTTGATAAAAGAAAGGAGTAGTGTTTTTCTGTTTTCCTAAACTGGTTCATTTATGAGATAAAATAACATAAATTATATCACTATTAGATATTTCCAAACCACATTGTTTTATTTGTTGCAGAGCAAAAGCTGTTCTTACTAACACTGAAGTGAGTGTACTACCTTATTTTTCTAATTTAAATCATATACTCTATGGCTATAAAAGTATTCATCATTTAAGGACCTTCTTCTCTGCTTCTAACCTAGGAACAATATAGATCTTAGAAAAACAGCTTAGTTTTATTAATGGCTATTAGTACCTTTCTGCTGTAAAGGAGAGTCAATGAATCGTTTTATGAATGACCCAAAAAGTGCCTCCAGGATATCCTTTTTCTAACAGAAATAGGCTCAGGACATCCTCTCAGGCTACTTAACAGTTATATCACTGCTTTTTCAGGTTTTCTACTCTGTGTCCATCAATTAAAATATTAGTAACCTAATTATTTCACAAGCATCTGAAATTTGGACAATAAAAACCAGAAAAGAATAAGGAAGACAAAGAAGAAGCAATGCTTCTGAATTAATGGTGTTACTATGGACTGTAAAAAAACACAAAACAAAACAAGACTGTCTTGAAGCAAGTGCAACCAAAATGCTCTTTAAGAGGTAAAGATGATGAAACTTCAACTCATATATTCTGAGCATGTCATCAGGAGGAGTTAATTCTTAGAAAATGACATCATACCAGGAAGATAAAGGGCCAGCAAAAAAGATGACAACCTGACTCTCAGGGAGATGAATTGATGGTGGTGATTGTGAGGATGGCATAGGATAGGGCAAGATTTAGATCTGTTGTTCATAGAGTCTCTATGGGTCATGGTATATTTGAGGGCATCTAACAACAACAAAAATAACAATGTTTTCTCTCAAAGTTATGGTTGTGGTTGTTGTTAGCTATTGAGTCATAGACAACTCATAGCGACCCTATTAACAAAAGACCTGAATACTTGTTTAATTTTCATCAGTTCTTCACATTCATTAAGTTTCTAGAGGCAAGCTATTTAGGAAGTGGATGCCTCTCTCAAAGAGTGAGTCCAAGAGAGTGAGTCCAAATTCTAGAAGTGAAGGCATTCCTTTCTATGTTCTATCTTCTTCATCACCACAGGATTCTTATTAGCTCTAGGCAGCACCTCTGGGCCTGTGCCGTAACCAGACCTTTCTCCTAGTCTTCCTGGAGATTACATCTTTGCTGACAAATAGCTTACAATCTTCAATATGGATTGCATCTCAACATAGAGAAGGCAGAGAGAGCATCTCATCACTAGGCCAACTGACAACATCATGATAGTTAGAGAAGAGATTGAAGTTGTTAACAGTTTCCTTTTGCTTGGATCCATTATCAACACTCTTGGCACTACTAGCCAGGAAATCAAAGGAGAAGTTACCTTAGGAAAGTCGGCTGTCAGTGACCTCTTCAGAGTGCTAAAGAGGAATTATGTCAATCAAGAGACTAAGGTGCACATGACCCAGGCCATGGTCTTCTTATTTGCTTTCTGTGAATCTTAGAATTGGACAATGACTAAGGATGACAGAAGAACTAGTGCCTTTGTATTGTCATGTTTGAGAAAAGTATTAAATATACTATGAACTGCAAATAACTGCAAAGTGGTCTGTCTTGAAAAGTGTAAAACTAGATTTTTTCCTTGAAGGCAAGGATTTCAAAGCTCCATATGACATACTTTGAGCATGTTGCCAGGAGGGACCAGTACTTGGAGAAGGACATGAGCGCAGGAGAAAATGAGATGGAGTCACACAGTGATTGAGGGGCAATGAAGGGAGGTATGGCAGAAACAGTGAGATTGGCTTAGGATAGAGCTCTGGACTATTGTTCATACAGTTGCTATGAGTCCTAGTTGACTCAATGGCACATCATAAAATAACAACACCTCAACAAGAAGCCAGCTCTTTCCTCAGATTTTAATTATACACTGGCCAAACTTGAAAACATAAGATCTTGATACTTCTTTTTTAAAATTTTTAAAAGTTTAGTAATTTTAATGAACATTTACAGAGATTTTGGATTTCCATTCATTCATTGCTGCACTTTTCTCCCTGCCCAGCCCTCTGCTCTCTTTGAAAAAGTAAAAGAAAAATTCTTTCTTTGGTATACAATCCCCCCGCAACCCTCCCACAACCCCAGGTGGTACACTCCACTATGCACCCTTAATTTTGGATTCTTGTGATAACTCTAATACCCTATCATAGATCTTGATACTTCTTATACAAAGAATTATCATCCATCTTCTTTTGAGAGAGTAATTAATTTTTGTGCTTTGAAATTTGATCTTCGTTGTGGAACTAACCTGGCAGAAGAAAGGCCGGTAGGATCTTATCTGTGTTTACTGGGGCTGATTATCTGGCAGAGCACCTAAGGGCGTGTCCACAGGTGGGGAAATTGGCAGAGCTCTCTTGGGTTCCCACCCAAAACGAGCCAGCCAGCTGGCTTCTGTGAACTCTGCAGACCAGCCAGAGGCTCGTGTGTTGGTGGGAAATTGACCTTGACTATTCGGATCTTGTCCGATCCAGGACCCTGCTGGAGCAGGGGCTGTTGTGTGAGGGCACCTGTGTAAGTGACACCAGGCAGGGAACACTGAGAAAACCATTCGGTAGGAAACGGACAACAGGAATTTGAGTAAGGACCCCAGTAGTGAGCATACTGAGACAGCAGAGGTTTGAGCAAGGTCTGCCATGTGATTGACCTGCCCTTGCGATCACCCAACCCTTTGCCTGCCTCACCCCACTTGGCTCCACACCACAGCCTACACATCTGGGCAATCAACTTGCCTTTAAACAGGAGTACATTGACCTGTTTTAGCAACAAGAGATTGCCCTAGCAGGCGCTGAACTGACA